ATGCCATTAATTTTTCACGAATTCATGATTATCTCCCTTTGGAAGAGGGCGTGGCCCTTCATTTGAACAAAATTGAATCCCCTTTACCCAAAGATACTTTGTGGCAAGTTTGCTTGAAATAGGCCCAGTGGTTCTGGAGAAAATGTCAAAAATGTGAAAAGTTTACATACGGACAGACAGACAGCTAGACGGATGGACGGACAGATGGACTACAGACAAAATGTGATCAAAAAAGCTCACTTGAGCCTTTGGCTCAGGTGAGCTAAAAATATAAAAGTGAGAGAGGGCCAAACTAAGGGTTTAATTATTAATTCATAAGGAAAGTAAACAAGCTTGAAAGACACACAATTCAATCTTACAACATGCACCTGGTATTTCTTAAATTTTAAGTTCATTTACAGTGTATGTAGGTGTCAACCTTTCATCAACTACTTCTGTATATAATATTGAAGGGTTTTAATTTGTACGACATAGTGAATTAAAGTTACACATGTATTTATTTATGTGTATTTAACACATCACCATAAATGTGATGATGCAGAATGGTCTACAAACAAACTTACATGTGTCTTCCTTCTGTGGCCAAACATGTATAAAATTTGAAAGCTAAGGATATTATAAAGAAAACTAATATTGTTGACTGAGTTATATCCCATTCCCATATAATTGTTCAATGAATTCGATTCATTATGATTGGACCCTTACAACTATAGTTGTCTTTCTGTAGTGGACAATTCCTCTGTGTAACATTTTTTTTAAGTAATGAGGTAAATCAAAGATTGTTGAACTGATGGAATTCATTAAGAAATGATAAATATATTTTATTAATATTTAGTCATGCAATCAGTAAGAATAAATACCTGTTGGCTCTCTATTCCCTTAGGAATACACCAGGTCTAGAGCACAGTCCTAAGTTAGCTTAGAGTACATTGATCAATCTCAGCTTTACACTAGCTTTACGCTAGCTGGCATTATGACAAAGGAGGGGACACAACTCAGATCTCTAAACCTGCAACACACAAATTATTTGAAGTGACCTGTTTTACACTATATCAGAGATTAAAAAAAACCCTCCCAGTCATGGATATACTCAATGAATTGTGCCATAGTCACTGAAACTGCTTTCTGTCAATACCAAACAGCCAATTTCTGACATAAAATTATTTACACCTTTTGCATTTAAATAAAATTAAATGAAAAGTGATTTGGAATATTACTGGTATGTACCCTAAATGACTGCACTAAAGCATAAACTTTGCTTAATTTCAGAAATATTTGATTTCAAAAATATAAAAAAAAAATTCTGAGGAATTGTCAGAGAATGTACATGTACATGATAGATTAATTTTGCTGGGAAATGAAAACAAAGACCAAAGGGCCAGGATTTTATTTTACAAACTAGATGTGTGTGGTAACACCACAAATGCCCCCGCAGACAGCCAAAATTTCAAATTGCAAATTGTAAATTGCACATTTGTAGCCAAGATAATGATTAGAAATTGAGAATTTTTAAAGCTTTTTCAAGTTCAAGGGGGATAACTGTCAACACCATGACCAAATTCAAACTTGACCTGCATATTCCTACGTATGTATCCATATATCAAATTTGAGTTGAATGTGTACAATTGTTGCCGAGATAATGAACGGAAATTCAATGATGACGGAATGACAGAATGATGGAACAGGGTAACACTATCCCCCCCGACCATTTTATGGCGGGGGCATAAAAATTCTGAAGATTAAGGGGTACCTATATTCTCCTACATTTCAGATGACAAGGAAAGTATTTTTATTCTGCTAAGGCAAATTTTCAAACTTCTAAAAAAAAAAAAAACAAGTTCAAGCTATAGATTTCCATAAAAGAAGTGTTGCAATTATGACTTGGCAATCCATTATTATAATTTTATTCATTTTCACACAATAGAATTTGCATCAAAATCAAAGAATGCCTTGATCCTTTTCCTTTAGTGAGAGCAGAAAAATTAAAATGAGAACCAACTAGATCGCAATGTGTAGCCCTCTTGTTGGAGCGGAATAAAAATCTAATTTTAGTTAGACTGAATTTATTTAAATTTGTTAATTTGTTGTGCGATTTATTAAAGGATAATGACTAACGCATATTATTGATCTTTGCAATCAATCAGAGTTCAGCTTATTGTATAAAAGACAAGAGACAAAATGTACATAATTAAACCACAGGTGCTTCAAGGGAATAGGAACACAACCCACCCCAACCCTCTAAAATTTTGGGCTTCCCAAGTTATTTTTTGATTTATTTTTTTAAGCATATATGTTGATTGTTAATGCACTATAAAAATTCACAATTAATGCATTAATGAGCTATGTATAAAAATATACCAATGATATAAATTATTTATTTTTTGGGGGGTGGGGGTGGGGGGGGGGGTGGGGGGATACATCAGATACCAGAGACATATATATCTCTGGATACATATACATGTATAGCTTATTGGGTCAATTGTGAATTTTTATAGTGCATTATACATCAACAAATGCTTTAAAAAATCATGAAAAATAATTCAGAGAGCCATTAATGTTTTTGGAGAAGTTGCTACCCCCCACCCACCCACCCCCTTCGCCTTTTGAAATCGTTGCAACGGGCCTGATGTGGGGGGGGGGGTCCTGTCCCCAAGCACCTGTGCATTAAACCATGAGTATCAGAACCTAATGGGGATAACTGTAGAATTGCTGGTGGTTGGCTGGGAGCAAATCCCCCCACTTTTTTTCCACAAAACAACATTAATTACGCCCAATAAAAATATTCAGCAAAAGTTCACTGTTCAACGGAATAGACCGCCACCCGAACAGCTGATTATTTCAGAAGCTGACAAAATTCGGTCCATCGCAGTTGAGATTATTGCTAGCCTACTTTCGTTTTCCTGAATATAAAGACTTTAGCATATTTATCAACAAAGTAGTTATTATCCTTTTGTTGTTTCAAACAAGGGATTTAGCATTTCTTTCTACATACTTCATTCTGGGATTGGGCATGCTGAATCTATTACAGAGGCAGAGATCTACCGTATATATATATTATATGATCATCAAACATTACACTTCCTGCCATGTGGTGTCTAGCCTCGCTTTCGTATCATAAGGGAGGAATAATTATTTCATTTTAAGGATAACTTGAAAAGAGATATCTCATTCATTTAGAGAGATATCTCTTTAACTTAGAAAGATATCTCTTTTTGAAAATCTAAAGAGATATCTCTCTAACTTAGAAAGATATCTCTTTTAACGTTGTTAAAGAGATATCTCTCTAACTTTCAGAGATATCTCTCTCGCTTTAAGAGATATCTCTCTAGCTTAAAAAGATATCTCTCTTGCAAAAAGAGATATCTCTTTTGTTTATAGAGATATATCTCTAGGTTATAAAGATATCTCTCTTAGTCAAAGAGATATCTCTCTTGGTCAAAGAGATATCTCTCTTGGTCAAAGAGATATCTCTTTTAGTTAAAGAGATATCTCTCTAAGCTAAAGAGATATCTCTCTAAGCTAAAGAGATATCTCTCTTATTGAAAGAAAAAATTATTTTACGAATAAATAGTAAAAGGGCTTGCCATAGAGGTCCCGTGTCGCAGTAGGTGCTGGTACGAAAATTGTCCCTCACGGTCAATGGCCCTGGGTGCCGAGTATAGATCTAATTTTGCAGCCCTCCACTAAGTGGTGGCGTCTCCATATAAGTGAAAAATCTCCAGAGGGACGTTAAACAACAACAACAACAAAAAAGAATGAATGAATTAACTACATTTAAACTTACTATAACATGGTGTTTTGTCGTTAGTTAAAACCCACATTGCAAGGTTAATACAAGTCACTGATCGGGATGCACTTGCTGATGTGACGCCATTTCGTAAAATTTAATGCTGTTTATATGCAGTGAGAAGCGGATAAAGTAAGCAGATATTTCAAAGTTTATTAAGTTGGATGCAATGTCTTCGTTGCGATGTTTTTCATAAATTTTCCGTACATTTCCAAATTAACTGAACCTGTCGTATAGTAGTATGCAGATACATGGGAGGGTAATGATAAGGTCTTAAGAAATCGTTCTAGTGCAATTGAATTGATTATTTCTTTATTTTGTGCAGTTGACCAACAAAATATTCAGCATGGCGCAATACAAATACAAATATGATTTTAACAATAATATAGTATAATTTAGATAGGATCGCAATACCTTTCATTTTTAAAAGATGCTATTTAATTTTAACTTATTCCTAAGTCACTCCCCTTGAAAGATAACGTGGACTATCATTTGAACAAGAATGCTTTGTTACAGGTTTGATTGATATTAGCCCAGTAGTTCTTGAGAAGAAGTCGAAAATGTGAAATGTTTACAGACGGACTTAAGACGGACCTTTTGCAGCAAGACAAAATATCCTCATAAAAGCCCACTTAAACTTTTATCTCAGATGAGGTTAAGACTAGGATAATATACTAATTGATATATGTATCTTATTTATTTATCACTGCATGTTTTATCTAAAATATCATTCATCTCCTTTTTATCATGCCGCTTATGTTTGTTATTGATTTTTTTCAGCTGAATCATTGACACAAATATTTGGTCTTACACAAGCAAAGAGCATTGATTTTAAGGAAGAATTAACTTCTTTTCCTTTGTCTAAAATTAATTCAGTAAACAAAATGATATTTCCAGTTTTCACTAATCGAATCCTCTGGACGTATTTTTTATTGCATTATACTACTCCATACCTTTATTCTTCATTATTTCTATAATTGAAATAAAAATGAATAATTATTTAGTGAAAACTGTAAGTAGTTTGCGTTGGACTTCACTTTAAAAACAGGTTCATTTGATCTTACTGAATAAGAATACGTAACATATATTTAATACCTGAATTCAAAAGCCTAAACGGGCTTTTAAATAACTACTGTACACAAACACGCATACCAGACGTAAGTAGGTTTTTTTAATTGTACTTCCTTGTTTCAAAATAATCATGTCAAACGACATGAATGAAGGACTTGTACCTGTTTATTTCCTCGGCGGATTGATATTTATAGGAAATGTATCATCTGCTTACGGTAAGAGTTATTAAATTCTCTCTCTCTATCTTTCTCTCTCTCTCTCTCTCTCTCTCTCTCTCTCTGTATGTGTGTGTGTGTGTGTGTGTGTGTAGTCTGTCCATTTGTAACATATTTCAGACATTATTTGGTCCTGTAAGAGTTTAAAACCCTGGGGCTTTACAAATATGACATCAAATATGTCTCAAAGAAAGAGTTGAACATCAATTTCGTATCAGCTTTGTTCGCTTTTGCTTTTGTCTACTCTCTGGATAACCCATGATAAAGAGACAATCTTGATCTCTGTAAGATATAATACAGAAATATGTAAAACACCCTTCGTTGTTTTAAGGATCTTACAAATTAGATCAAATTAAGAGTTAGTAAAGAAAAATTTACATATACCATAAACTATGTTAATGTTTCGAAGTCTTCGGGAAAACAAGAAATTAGAGTTACCATTCTTGAAAAAAAAGCATTTAGCGTTAATTTTCTAAGTATTTTATAAAACACTTTTCAAAATTTCAAAACCCTTTAAATAGTTTTTGTGTAGGATTATTTCTTTTTTTAACCACAATTATTTAAACATGCAGTGTTGATTTTCGCTATCTATCTATTGTCGATGGTATGCAATACGAAATCCTGTGATTATTTTAATTTAAGGCTTCGTCATTTCTAAAACTTTCACAATTAATACATGTACGTGTCACTATTTTAAAGCAACCTTTGCAATGTTTGAATAAGGGATCATCGAACCAATATCCTCGTCGGCGAACTTGAACAACAACCCCATACCTACCGAAGCCATGACTAAATTATTTTTTGATAACAGAAAAAAATTATAATAACAGTTCATTAAAAATAAATGTTTAATTTATTCTTCAATTACATCGACTGGCTTGACAGACCACATGCACCTGTGGCGTTATATCGAGATGATCGACACTTTAAAATGGACGTTTCGTAATGAAAACAGGGTGGCGGATTGCGGTATGAGAACTTTACATTATAAAGAGAATTTTATATAGCAAGAAAAACGTTCTTGAGATACCAGATTGCCAGAATGCCGATGACTGGAATTGCAATAATTCGAGAATTGACTACATATCCAACGATAAATATTGAAAAAAAAAACTGTAAACTGTTATTGCAAAAAAATGCTGGTGAAATGTTCTACCACTGGCATATATTTATCTGATAAATAAAATTAATACCCAACACTCTTCCAAAAATCTAAAAGATATTTTAGGAAGTACAAACAACGTTATATACATTTTGGAATGGATAATCTCTTGAATTCTAGACACATTTAGCTGAATACATCAAGACAATTTTCTACATTCCTTAGCATTATTTTGTTGTCTTATGTCTGGAATCTAGGGCTTCAACATATCTTATCCTCTATTCAACGATGCTTGCATGTTTTGACTGTTAACATTTTTTTCCGGGAGAAAAACATACCTAAAGATCTTCCTTTTCCATTCTTTAGAAAAATCTTTACCTTATGTTGCATTAATCCAGCCAAAAGAATACTACTATAAACAAGCTTGAATGATGTGTTCTACCATCTTTTTTACAGAGAATATTGCATTAGAGAAGCATGCCTGGCAGCTGCATCCTTATACCGGTCAGGCTTGGGGAGCAGATAAAGCGGTGGATGGACGGTATTCAGACCGGTCGGCTGGAGGAGGACAATGTGCGATAAACGCAAATTATAAAATAAATGCAGAGTGGTGGGTATATCTGGGACAGTTACTCAGTATACACCATATCACGATATACTACAGGACGGATAATGTTGTATGGGGTAAATCATTATTTTTTTTTATTTTATTTTATTTTATTTATGATTATGTTACACCATGGGGCTACAAATTAAATAGAAATTAAGAAATAAAAAATTATATGTGACTGGCCTAGATACTGCATTAAACCTATTTAGTGATTTCTTAATGAAACAAGAGATTTCCTCTGCTTGTACTTTTAGCATTATTTGGTGAAAAATTAAAATGAAAGAACGAAATATCATTCAATATCAGTACATATACAATGTACATAAATAATTATAAACACCAGGATGTATTTGTTTCTTGAATTATTGTTCTTTATTTTATGACGAAGAAAAGGTAAGATATCATTGATATAATTCTTATTTTGTTTTCATCTTAATCGCTTACATGTACGTGCATGTAATGTAGAAATAAAATCATTGAAAATTTAGCAGTCTAGTATGTAAGTATTTCAAAGTGATAGGATTAAGCAACACCAATAAAAAACGTCGATACATATAATTTATATTTATTTATAAAGAATGTTATATTTTTAAGACGAAACAAACGGTTACACATCTCGATTCCTTGGATTCTCGGTTTACATATCGAACACAACCAAAAAAGAGGAGGGAAGACTTTGTTTTAAGGACACAAATTACACCAAATCCACAATACCCGATATGATTACAATTGAATGTCTTTTTCATGGAAGATACGTGATTTACTACAATGAGAGACTGTCGGGATCTACCTACCCTAATGGATATTCCATGTTCGCCCACAATGAACTCTGTGAATTCCAAGTGTATGGTACGTATGAAGAAAAGTTTATGATAAAATATTTCATAGATAAAACATGGAGAAGATGAAGATAACGAAAATCTACAACAATACTATTCCGTGAACAGGGCATAAAACATGGACATCCCGGAAATTCCAGACGTTGTTGGTGTAAGATTTTCGTTTAATTTCCCTATTTTTGAAGATATGATTTTCTCTTTAATCCTAGGAGACTGGACCATTCCAGTAAAAGAGAAATATAATACTCTCTCTCACCAATTCCAGTGACATCAAAGACATTTATTTAATGTAAATGATTATAAATTGCCATTATAAAAAAAATGCATTCTTTAGGTAAAATGTATAATATAAAATTGCTAAAAGAAAAATGCACTTTCGTGAAGAATTTGATCAAAGTTGATCAATGTTAAAATCTAAATGACGTATTTGTAAAGTGTATTTTAAAAAGCATATACAACGGTGCGATCAAATTAATAAAATTAACATGTCAGTTGCCCACGCTTCTGCATACTTCGAAAACTAAGAAACAGTTTTTAAAAATTGTTGATCATGAACGCTTTTCCTTGTGTTTCTATCTAAAAGATGCTCGAATGAACTTAATCTCTATGAACCTTTTCTTTTTCTAAATAATATGTGAGTTCTATATTAAAATTAAACAGTACCAATAAAGAACGCAGATTAACGTCTCCAAGATAGCCATAATGATGTAACAAAGAAGGAAGTAAGGATGACATATTCAAAAGGGTTCCGCAAATGGCTTAGGCAATATTGATTAAAGTTTTAAACAAATGACACAAAACCTAACTGTGCTTTTAACATTTAAAAAGTTAAAAACAGTGATTATTGTTATAGAAACAGACACGCTATTTAAAAAAAAATAACTTTTCCGACTTAGTGTATAGGTGATCTTCTGGAAATTTTGAAGGCTTATTCCTTACGTTAAGTCTTACTAATTTCTGCAAAAATTAGAATCTGCTCGAAAAACAAAATCGATATTGCTATGAAAACAAAAGAGAGGTTTTTTGAAAAAATATCCTTTTCTTATGCCTCTAAGTTTTTTTTTTTTTTTTTTTTTTTTTTTTTTTTTTTTTTTTTTGGTCATTTCCAATTGCATAATATTAAAATGTAAGGTTTTTTAAAAAAGTTTGTGAAGATCACCAGTTGTTCACTTTAACTGCACCATTAGGTTCAGTTTAGTGTCCAATACGTTATTGCATGAAATATCAAAATTTCTCAATCGATATTCAGGATGTCCTGTCTCAGGATTTTATGGGAAAAACTGTTCGTTACCGTGTCCACAGAATTGCCAGGAGAGACATTGTAACATTGTGGATGGAACATGTCTTGGATGTATTACTGGATACAAAGGTTCACGATGTGAAGAACGTATGTATTTCAGAGAGAGAGAGAGAGAGAGAGAGAGAGGAGTGACTGGTAATGCATGTTTAGAGACCCGCTAAATGATTTTTTTGATTGACCTTAATGAAATTTGAAGAAAATACATTTTATGTTATTAAGGTAATCACTATCTAGTTTGCAGGGTATGACAGGGCATGACAGGACATTAACCACAATAAGAAACGCCGGATATTTGAATAAAAGGCAAAACTTTTATGCATAAATAACCCCACGTTTCCAGCTGTCGTTAATATCCATGGCATACCCAACAAACTAGATAGTGATTCGTTATATTTACATTTATATGTGAAATAAAAATGCTAATCTAATTAAAAACTGCTAATACATATGTAATACGCGAGGCATTCAAGGTTAATTTCCATAGTCCCCGCCTACTGACGTCAGATACAATGACAGCCATAAAATTGACATGCATATTAAGCAATTGACCTTTCATTTGTCGAAATTATCATGTTCTCCAAACGAAGTTTGGGAACATATTCTTTTTTTTTACTCAGTTTTTTTTTTATTTCTTCTCCGGTACTTTTTTGTCCACGACTTTTATGGGTTAATAGGCATGTTTTGTAGATGTGCTCGTCGAAGGTCATTGTGTGCGCACATTCATGCACGTGCAGGTGCTAGCGATATGTGAAATGAGTGATATTATTTAAAAAAAAATTAAAAACATTAACTTTCCTATGTTTTTTTTTATTAAATGGTTTGAATATAAATATATTATACATGTAGTAGTTTTCACAAGATGAGATTGTTAAATAAGCATGATCTCGCATGCATGCACGTGTGCTTTGCTCTGATTGGCTGAAACAAAGTTTTTAATATCTAACTTGTTTTTTTTTTTTTTTTTTCAACAAAAAGCTTTAAATCTGAAACATAGCCATATATTAGGGGGTTCCGCAATATGATTTATAAGAGATATCTTTAAATCACGCTCATGCACATGTGCTGCAATCTGATTGGCTTGAACATTATATGCCTCTGACTTTCTTAGTTTTCAACAAAACAGGATGGAATTCAGAATATACATAGGTATAACTAATACCTACACTATGCTGCTCTTAAAATTGAATGCAAGAACATGCATGCACGTGTGCTTGATTCTGATTTGCTAATACTAATGTAGCTGTATCTCTCATGGTTTTCAACGAAAATCTTTGAGATTACACATATTTTTGTACAAATAGAACTGCCTAATTCAAGGAAGCTTGTTGGAAATAGGGCGTAGAGGGGAGAGGGGGACCGTTTGGGGAACATCTGAAATGGTTCCCATTAAAATTAGCACTAGTTTACATTGAATTGTTATGTTCAAGAAATCAACACATTAAATTTTCAAAGAGTTATCACAGCGAAAACGTAAGAAATGTAAACATTATAAGATACTCTTAGATATGTATGGTATATAATAAAAAAAAAAAAAAAAACACGTATGGTTTTATATGATTGTGAAGCGATTAAAGTCAGTTAGGTATTAATTTAATGTCATGCATTTCTTACATTTAACGATGTTTCTTTTAAACTTAATGTATAAATGGTTTCCCTGCCATTGTTTCCGTCTTTGGTCCTGGAAGTGTTATTAAAGGGACTTGGACACAGTTCCATTGCTGTTTTGTTTACATTTTAAATTTCTATTTTTATTCAGAAACTGACCATTTTAACAAACTGAACTTAACGAAAATTCTTAAAATTCAGTGACAGTGACATTTTTCATAAAAGACAGGTCAAACTTCTGTGTTAACTTTGTAAACATGGGCATGATTTGATATATGAAATATGTGGAGATATCGAACAGTATTCGAGCTCAAATTGTCCATTAAACATTACAAAGTAGGAGCAGAGCAAACACGGGCCTCTAATACATGACGTCAGAGGTGGGATAAGGTGCCATGGAGGAGTGAGAATTCCCTGCCTACCGGTCACACCCTCCGTGTGTTCCTTGTCATGTTCGGGAAATAACGGGAAAATCCTTCAACAATTAAGTGTGCAAATATGTTATTTATAAATATGTATATGTTGTTGTTAAGGTAATACGCAACGTATATAGCATGTAGTTTACAATGTACCTTCCAACTCATAATTTTCCGAGATATTCTTCTGTTAAAATCATTGTACCATCAGATGATCTTAAGCAAAAATTCAGCATGTATTACCTGGAGTTTTGTACATATATCAAATGATAAAAATCCTTGTGTTTTTAAAATGAAAATTTAACACAAATACAGATTTAGTTTGAATTTTCTAAAAATATAATTCAGAGGAGGTCTACACATTACCAGACATCATAAAATCCCACAAAAGTCCTTCAATAATTTAACTCTTAAATTGTACAGGGAATAAGAAAACGAAATTCAAAACTATATGTTGTGTGTCTTTACATGTAAAGCTAACGTTTTTTCCTAGTTCTAGTTGTTTACTCTGCACATATCATTGAGTGCGGACTGACAATATTGGTGAGATGAGCTTCCTCACATTTTTTCTCTGAATATCCTTGATTATAGTTTTTTCTTCATTAACACACAACACTTTTCTTATACATGTATATGTATATTAAAGATAAAGTTTATTCCGTGAAATTGTAAGGATCTGTGTCAATCAAACAGGTGCCGAATATCGTAGTTTTATAAAGAAGTTTTTGAACACGCATTTATAGTTTTTCGGTGTCAAATGCTCCAGCACCTGATATGTCTTGATATTAAACTGACAATTCAGAAAACATTAGCTTCAAATCTCTACCCAAGCCCCTATGTTGAAATCAATAGCTGTTGAAGTTTTTTTCCAAAAAAAAAAAATCTATATTCAGTAGCTGGCAATGGTATTATATGTTATAATTTTCAGAATGTGATAACAATAAATATGGCCTTGGGTGTAACTTGACATGCGGTAACTGTAGCAACGGAGAACAATGTAATCATGTAAGCGGAAGTTGTCCAAACGGATGTGACGCCGGGGCCCAAGGAGATACATGTAATGAAGGTCAGTTAATGTTGTTTATACATGTCCTATTTCTTTCGTGATAATTACCTTCTTTAAGAACGTACCCTAAATTGAAAACGTTCAATGTGGAAAGATAGTCAAGTCATACACGAAGACAAAATATAATAAGATAATATTGCATTCACCATCAATGTTAAAATTCTTTTAACAAGACCTTTAGAAATATATTTCCATGTTCTTGTACTTGATTGAACATCTCTCAATGACTTGAAAGGATATCCAAAATTAAATATTTCAGGTGATGATAATACCAGGCCTTCTCTGTCATATGAAATGATCTTTCTAATATTTTTCACTCTGTTGAATTTATTTAATTTTTTTTTCTATATTTAGTTTCTGAATTTAATAATTTTAGTTTGTTTACCAACTCAATTATTTTGCATAGACGTGTATTAACTAAACGAAGTGAAACTTCTGTCCAACTGTTTGGTAACATTGACAGACCATAAATGAAAGCAGAAAAGTAGTATTCATTTAATCATTGCACTAAGAGAATGTGTTTTTTTTTTATATTATGGAAGCATATAAGAAATATTTCACAAATTATGGAACCGGAAATGCAAGGGGGGGGGGGGGTCATAGCTTTTCTTGCAAACACGGATACATGAACGCGCACAAACATTGCATATAATGGCAGCTTGTAAATCTTACTGACACCCTATGATTTTGTCCTTTTTGCCCTCATGGTTCTTACGGTGCTTCATGTAAGTTAGGGCAAGTACGTCCTAAAGGAGAGGTTCGAAGTACTGTTATTATTGACTCCTCCACCTTTGAGTGGGATTTACTAGCCAAAAAATATAAACAATAGAGAACTGTACAAGTGCACAATACTTGCTATGTATAGAAATGTAACAATATGAACGTAAACTTGGATATTTCTTGTCCAACCACAAGGAATTTTCCTAATTTTTACTCATACAAGTAATAGCGTTTAGGAAGCTGTCCTGACCAAGCAATTAATTAATATATAACATATAAAGCATAATATGAAATAAATGTTTCCATCGTAACATTTCAACACCTTACATTTTTAAGACTTTATACAAAATGTCATATTTTCCTTTTACCTTAACGTTTCTGCGACACATCATAAGAATGTATGTATGTGCATATGGATAACATTTGAAAGAAGTTAATTTGGCATGATATTGAGACTCAGATTCTTTAAATGATTTTAAATTAAAATGAAGAATGTATGTAAAATTTATGTGATTGATTTGTGATAGGAAGCTGTGACGGAATAAAGGTTACATGCATTAAATTCATTTCAAATGCATAGGAGATCAGAAATGCTGAAAGCCAGCTGAAAATATGATAGCTACTCATAATACAAATTGAAATAATTTAAAATGAATATCTGTAAGGAGACTGAATTGTAGCGTGCACTTTTATGCAAAATACGGATAATATCAATCTTAACAATTAAAAAAAAATATTTTTTTTTCAAAAACTTAATATTACAGGTCCATGTCAAATTCTCGGCACATTTCTTTTTTAATGCTCAAATTTGCCCATATTCAACAGTACAGGAAAGAAAAGTGGGGATGGGGTCGGGGGGGGGGGGGGCAGCTTCAAAATTAAAATTTACATAGTGAAACTATATCAAAAAGACTATTCTCAGAAAAAAAAAAAAGTGTCCCCCTCCCTCCTGACACTTCGCGTACAACGGGGCAGTATAAGAAGTAAGGACATATATGGACGTGCATGGTGAAATTTTACAATTTTGTATATTATGTACAGGGCAAATTGTATCAAAAAAGAAAAAGTTAACCACATTTTAACAAAAGATTATCATTACAAAGTAAAACTGCACACATTTTCACTTTTTTGATGTGCAGTCTATTGGGAACCAAATACCCTAGATATATGTCTGTAGACAAAATTTTTATCTAATGTCTTGGAATGAAAATCGTAAAAAAAACATAATTATGCTTTATCTTTAGAAAAATGTATTCGGGAATAATTTACAAGACATTGTTACGATATACAAGCAGGGTATGTTTACACATGCAACATTACTGCATTAGATCAGAAATTATATGTATGTTTGACCAGTTCTTTCTCTTAAGGAATGTTAATCTGTTCCATTTTGTTTATTTTTTAAATCAATCTTTATAAAGCATGTTTTGTGACTTCCATCTTTTATCTTTGTTCCCAGCATCAGTTATTGAATGGTGTTTTGTTACAACTAATTGACTTAATGATTAACTATGACCACTTATGGGGTAAACCCAGAAGTAAAATACATAAAAGGGAAAATTTAGCATGCAATTTTGTTGCTTTAGAGTTACTTACCCATAAATGGTACGTTACTTCTTTCTTTTTTAAATAAAAAAAAATTCTAACGTTCGAGAATCAGGTTCAAAGAACAAACTTTATTTTATTTCATGGAAGTTATCACAGCCCTTGAGTAGAACATCCAAAGAATTTACTTATGACATTTGGTGCAAAATGATTGTGTCAACGCTTTCCTTGAAGACAAATGGACTGGTCCCGTAGCATAGAAACGTAGAAAAAAAAGGTCACACGGACTGTTTGTATAGGGCATAAAATAAACCGCTGCATGAAAAGAAACTAAAGGATGTACTCACATCAATATTTCGCATCAGTTATATTATTGTTTCTTCTGCTTAGTATTGTTAGATATAAATGTAGCTGGCTAGCTTTGACCTCTTGGCTTGGAAATAAAAAAAAAAATCCTTAAACTTCCTGACGCTTGTGGCGTTAAGCAAAAATATTAAGGTTTAAAAGTCTACTTTTTTAAAGCTTTGCTGGTCAGAGACCAGAAGTGCTTATGCTATAGTTAGGTGTCCGTCGTCCGCCTATCTGTCTGTTCCTCTGCTTGTCTTTTTGTCTGTTCGTCTGTTTGTCTGTAAACAATTTTTCAAAATGCTACTTCTCCTTTGGCCCGATTTCAATATACCTATGTACACAGGTAGAGTACAATAAGATACGTAATTCTTTGTTTCGGGTTTTGATTTCGGTAAATGGTGTTGCCAAGGTTACTTAAATAGACATTTCTTTGATTTTTTTCTCAAAATGCTACTACTACTGCAGTTCTTATCTGATCTCAATAAAAATTTTCCCATAGTAGACTACACTAAGATAAATAATTCTGCATATCGGTTTTTGATTTCAATGAATGGTGTTGCCATGATTGCTAAAAGTAGAAAATATTGTGAAATTCATTTAAGAAATAAGATATCATTTTTAGAGTTTCATTGGAGTATAACATGAAGTCGGTAACGTGATCAAATCCTATAACGCCCGAAGGGCGTTATAGTAGATTTGATCACGTACCGACTTCATGCCATACTCCAATGAAACTCTTAAAAATGATATTTTATTTCTTATATTTATATTTTACTTTTCATTCGTGTTACAAAGAAATATAGTCATTATTTAGACTTTGCTATGGAAATGCAACATAACGCCACAATCGGAACTTTCCAAATGACTCGTGCTTTTTGCCTTCCAAACGCAAGAAAGTCTGATCATGTGACCAACTGCATGTCATTGAAAATTGAATTTCAATTTAATGAGTATTGTTATATAAGGAAAGGCATTGGCAAATGTAAATATTTAAATGTTACTTCTACAGTTTTAGTCTGATTCCAAATAAAAGTACACTTCAGTATAAAATACGTAACTATATATTCCAACTTCCGCCCCAACTTGTACAGGTACTGCTAGGAGATTCCATAGGTCGATAGTTCAACCCCTGGTTGGGGCTGAAGTGGATATCCTTATAAAAGTGAATTTCTTTGTGCTTTCTATATTAATATTTCTTCACTTAGGGCAGTTATGTAAGCTGAAGAATTGTTGTAAAATGTGCTATATATATTAAAATAATTCATTACAATGTGTAACCGTAAGACTAATGTCCAGATAACTCTTTCTCATTTCCATTCTCAATGACCGTGTAGTGTAGAATAGCTCTGCAAGAATTTTATTTGACTTACTTAGATGCCCGAGCGGTCTAGCGCACTGTTCCTGTACTTCTAGGAAACGAATGTGGGTATCCTTATAAAAGTGAATTTCTTTGTGCTTTTTATTATTATATTTCTTCACTTTGGGCAGTTGTTGCTAAATGTAAAGTGCGCTTTATATACATATATATACAAAGCGTTTCGTGCAGGCTTTCGTGTAAGCTGTGCAGCCCTTCGTGCAAAGCGTTTCGTGTAAACCGTGTAGCGTTTCTTGCAAACCGTGTAGCGTTTCGTGTAAACCGTTTCTCAGTAGTAGTTACACAAAAGATTTTAGTTGCTTATGTACAGAAGGACGTACGAAGGTGGGGAAAAAATGTCACATGGACGCGCAGCGTCTGAGTGGCATTGTTGCCCCGCATTCGTCCTTCTGTACTTAACCAATTGAAACCTATTGTGTAAGTCACATGTAACAGAGCCATACAAAGTATCTTGCACGTGCAAAAAGAAATTTTGGCGCTTCATTTCCCGCTTAGAAGTGAATGTGGACGGTTGATAAAGCAGAAAAATGGACGTGGACGATACCTACGAGGGTTTATTTGATTAGGGGAGCTTGTGGGACACTACAATTGACGACATTACTCTTTTGCAAGCAACTGAGCAGATAGAGAAGGATTGTTGATTGTATGTTGTTTAACGTCCCGAGAATTTTTCACTCAAATGGAGACGCCACCACTTGCCGGTGGAGAGCTGCAAATTTTGTCCAATGCTCGGCACTTACGGCCATTGAGCAGTGAGGGGTCTTTTTCGTGCCAGCACCTCCTGCGACACGGGACCTCGTTTTGTACGGTCTCATCCGAAGGACCTGTCTCCACGTCCCACAGTGGGATTCGAACCCGCGACGTAAGGATCAACTCCTTACTTCGCGACTCTAGAGCAGACGCTCTAACCACTGCGCCAGGTAGAGAAGGAGATTGACTGCGAAAATTTGCTAGAGAACATCACCTTCTCTCAGGCATCTTGTACAACTCCGGACCCGATGGCATTGAATTA